GCAAGGAGTAGTGCTGTGTAGTTGTTTTTCTCTGTAGATTAAACACACTGGCTGGAGTAAGGTAATGTAAAGGAGGGAAACTCAATAAAGTGTGATGATGATGTGTTTAGTGCGGAGGGTTCAAGGCCTCGCTCTGTGCGTGTTTTCAGCATGCCGTCATTTTCTGCCAAACCCCACTGGGATGTACAGTAGTGGGGAAAAGAGAAGGGAAGAGCTGTGAAGAAATTATGAGTGCTTTATTAGAGTGTTGTGTTATTTCTGATGAAGATAACCAGGTAATGCTGCTCCCTTTTTTCTACTAATTGTTGAGGATTAAGAAAACAAACAAACAAGAGAATGGGAGTGACTGGAACTGAAGTAAGAAGTAACACACTCACTTTACTCATCCTAGATGGATTAGAAAAAGACAAAAGGGACAACATAATCTTGCTGATTTGACAGACTGATCCTTAACAATTTTCATTTTGGCTTCCGCACAAGATCACCAAGAAAAAGTAAATTTAATGAATGTGACATAAAAGGGATGGTGACTCTGAGAGAAGGAAATAAAGACCAGTATAATGGTGATAATAAGGGAGGAAATAGTGGATAACAAAGAAAAATGAAGTAAGAAAAATGATAATCCACAAAAACAAGAGGGTGTACTAATCTCAAGAATGTGATTCGGTGGTGCAGTGGATAAGACACATGCCTTTGGTGTGAGAGACCCGCGTTCAATCCCCCACTGTGACCCATCCACCATTGTGTCCTTGAGCAAGACACTTAACCCCTCATTGCTCCAGAGGCGTGCGACCTCTGACATGTATTGCAATTGTAAGTCACTTTGGATAAAAGCGTCAGCTAAATGAATAAATGTGATTCAAAAAAAGCTAGGAACCAGTAAAAGATTGTTGGAAAATATTAGTAGTCATCTCACTTCAAAACAAAAAGCTTCAAAAGCACAACAGAATCTAAAGAAAAATACAAAGAAGAAGATGATAAAAACTATTCCCAGTTTCTGTTGGACACTCCGGTGCTCCGAGCTTCAGTCTCACCTGCTGACTCTTAAAAAAGTAATTTGTCCTGGCGCTGGAAGGTGAGGGCTAAATAAAAGGAAATCACTGTTATCATGATTAATCAGCGGCTCTGTCAGCGGGTCCAAGGTGAATAGAAAGTGGCACAAATGACTGCATGGAATTCCTGGTGTGTCAGACAGAATAAAGTAGCAATGTCCGTCCTTCACTCACTCTCAGTTTCACCCACTTATTTAAAGTAAAGCTTGCTCCATTGGGTTTCATAATACCTCATCTGCGTGGAATCAAATGTTTTAAAGTCTGCAATGGGTGGTGCACTTGAGGTTAGTAAATCATAAAACATCAGCCAGACACAGGATTACCTGCCATAAATAAGATGTTGTATTTTCCTTTTGGTGATCCCATCATGAAAATAGATTAAAAAAATAGATGAATTGCGTGAGGAAAAATGACGTAACAGACAGAAAGCAGTTCAAAGACAAACTATATCTCAACCAGACTTGTGTAAATTTTTGCAAATAATCCGTTTTTAAGTTTTGCCACTTAAAATTCTGTCCAGAAATATTTTGTTTCTACATGGGACAAAAATATAAGTGGCAAAAAAATGCATTTTGCCACCAGCTTTTTCAGGTTCAGTCATAAGACAGACAGCATGCCACAGGTGTTAGGTAGAAAGGAAAAGAAGAAGCAATTTGCACAGTGAAATGTGCAAGCTCCCAAATCTTTTTATTAATTCAACGTTTTGACCAGCAAGGTGGGTGGCGCGGTGGTGTAGTGGTTAGCACTGTCGCCTCACAGCAAGAAGGTCGTGGGTCCTTTCGGTGTAGAGTTTGCATGTTCTCCCCGCGTCTGCGTGGGTTCTCTCCGGGTGCTCCGGCTTCATCCCACCGTCAGAAGACATGCAGACTAGGTTGATTGGTGACCCTAAATTGTCCTTAGGTTGTTTGTCTATGTGTGGCCCTGCGATGGACTAGCGACCTTTCCAGGGTGTACCCTGCCTTTCGCCCGATGGCAGCTGGGATTGGCTCCAGCCCCCCGCGACAATGTACGCAGGATAAGCGGTTGAAGATGGATGGATGGACCAGCAAGGTCTTCATTTTTTAAACCCTGCCCTGCTGTTTCACTGTTGTCCAACAGCTTCTATATTTGTTTTTGTTCTGCACCTTTGTTACAGGTGTTGTGTGCCTTTTCAACCTTTAATTATATCTACACTTGTTTACTTCATTGTATCACATCACATACAAGACAATAACACTTTTTTTGAGTATAACTGAACTTTGAACCTCAACATTTAAGTCAACATGGATGAGAATGTGCTAAGAAAAAAAAGCTAATTTGAAGATCTACAATTCTTGCCAACTCCATCTTCTGATGGAAACCATGTTTTATGAACAGAAGCTCCAGAACATTTGCTAAATGGATCTCATTGTGAGATTATTTTGCCAACAGCTGTTTCCAAACTGGAACACCAGCATGAGCTTAAAACATTTAATTCTTTCGGATTTGTTTAAAATGTATTTTCTGAATAGAGCAGCACTTTGGTTTCTACTACAAATGGGCTGAAAACAGAAATCAAGGTTCTTGGATGAAATGGTAACAAATGTTTAAAAGTGCAATTTAACTGTAATGTATTATCATCATCAGCTTAGTCCACGTCTGTTTACAGCATCTACTTACTGACAATTTACCTCAAATTATGTGATTTGTTGAACTTATTTCATACTTCAAGCAGGTTGCAGTCTGTTGCCAGCACACTTCATCATTTTAGGAGACAGAGAAGTCTAAGAGGAAGGCTGCTTCTACCTTAATCTTGCCTGAGGAGGTCATTTGGTCTGATGCCTTTTACCCCATATAATATAAACTTCCCCACCACGAGCTGCTCACAAACAGCATAAATAAACAACAGCGGGACAAACCAGGGTTTGGAGCTAGTTAGGGCGCACGATTTCAGCATGAGAGTTTGTTTGTTCAAATTTGCTCGCACGGTGACCTAACTCCTTTCAACTGAGCACATGTGGGGAAGAACGCATAGGACGGCGAACAGTACAGAGGAGGGGGGGAAAGTGGAAAAATCCATATTTTTCCAATATGCAGACAGGGTCGTTCATCAGGCAAAGTTTGACACATGTCTTTGAACAGTTAGAAACAACAACTTGGTGGAAAAAGTATGGAGAAGGCTGGTTTGGCTAAACAAATGTCATTTTTGGACGCTGCTGCAGGGAGGATGAGAAAAGTAAAGATGATGAAAAGAACGAAAAGATACATTCCTGAGAATCTAACTCACTGCCTCACTGTTTCCTGGGCTTGATTAGAGAGATGCAGTGACTTGCGGGTACATTAAGATTAAGATCTCAGTCGTCCAGAGGGAATTACATAAAGGAAGCAATATGGGTATCTTTATGAAAAGTGACGTTGGTTTTTATAAAAGGAAGTCTCATTACGGCCTATACTTATACTGTGCAGCCATGCAGCTACAGCACTGTTTGTGATGGTTACAGAGGCCATATTGTAATCAGAAGGTCACAGGTTTGAACCACACAAGGGCCAGTCACCATGAATTAAGTAATGCTCTGCTTGATTTGTATTAAGTATTATGCTTAAGAAGTTCATAATGGCTACTTCTCTCAACTTTTTTGCTAAACTTATTCCATATATGTCTCAGTTCAGAACGCAACATCTCTACAATATTAATGTTACTTTTAAATGTAACTATATAAACATATGGTTATGTTGATTATGTATCTTGTAAAAGTTAAAAATACAAATCTATGTATTTTGAATAACCTAATAACTACACTGAACAAAATTATAAACGTGACACTTTTGTTTTTGCCCCCATTCATCATGAGCTGAACTCAAAGATCTAAGACTTTCTCTATGTACACAAAAGGCTTATTTCTCTCAAATATTGTTCACAAATCTGTCAAAATGTGTGTTAGTGAGCACTTCTCCTTTGCCGAGATAATCCATCCACCTCACAGGTGTGGCATATCAAGATGCTGATCAGACAGCATGGGTGTTGCACAGGTGTGCCTTAGGCTGGCCACAATAAAAGGTCACTCGAAAATGCAGTTTCACTGTATTTGGAGGGCCGGGAACCATTCAGTATCTGGTGTGACCACCATTTTCCTCACGCAGTACAACACATGTCCTTTGCATAGAGTTGATCAGGTTGTTGATTGTGGCCTGTAGAATGTTGGATTTGTGAATATTTGAGAGAAATAGGCCTTTTGTGTACATAGAGAAAGTCTTAAATCTTTGAGTTCAGCTTATGATGATTGGGGGCAAAAACAAAAGTGTTGCATTTATAATTTTGTTCAGTGTATAAAGGAATTACATCATCACAGATCAGGCTAAGTACTACTCTAAAATTATATGCACTAAGTTGGTCAGTAATCAGTCAGTGACTTATTTACCTCTATAGCAAATGTTGCCATTTCATGAATTAAAAACATTGACTGTATAAAGGTTAAAAACAGGATTAGCTTACTTGTTTTAACCTGATCATCTTATGGTCACGCAAGGGAGTCAAGATTTTCCGTTCTTTAGACTGTACTGTGGGTGGTCGTGCAGGCAAAGCAGGCTACAACAGTGATAAACATTAGCACATTCATCTGGGCTGGAATGTGGCAACCAAAGGCCATTTGCTACAAGCCCTTTTCACAGCAGTCAGTGTGACATGTCGCAGCAGGAAAAGTACAGGTGTTAGAAATAACACTAATGATGGATCTGTATTCAAGTGTCCAGGTAAGTCATGACAGCATGCATAGTACCAGGACCCTGAAAATGAATCTGCTAAATGGAATTCAGCCATCTGTTTATGTTTATTACTTACACATGTGCTTTTCCCACTGTGATTTGTCAAAATGTGAAAAAGTTTACTTTGCACAGTTTTACATAAGAATTCAATTACCAGTTTGTTTCAGGCACAATATATTGTATAACAGTAAAAAAAACAACAACAACAAAAACAGAATAACTCAAACATTTTTTGGTGAGTATTTTTATGCAGTCAATTATAAAAGCAATACATCATCACGTTACCAATACAATGTTTGGCATGTCATGTAAGTAAAAACATCCAAACTGCAAAAAATGACTTACGATTCATAGAATCACTTTCAAAATAGAGAGAAACTAATGTGTCTCATTGATCTAAAAGAAGGACCCATACAATCTTAAATGACATCTTTCATTACTTGGATGGATCCAATTAATAATTTTCTCACTTCTCTAAATGAAATTTTTTTTCATGGTTATGGAGCCCTGCAGAATTTTGCAACAACTCAATGATGTAACAAAAAAACATTACAACATTGGATCTTTTAAATTCTGGAGCAGTTGCCATCATCAGTGTCCAAAAATATGTTCAGCAAAACCTGGGATGGTGTGTCGTAGATGGCAATTAGTCTTGTGTTTCCAGTACATCCAGCAACATTTGCAAATTGCAGCAGGCGAGCATAATGTGACTGGTGAGCAACAGTAAACATTAGTGTTTACTTTGTTGCATGTCTCATGTTGTCTTGTATGATGTCCCGTAAACACAACCAGAGAAGTCGATTTGTTGTCTTGTGAGCAAAAAGTGGTAGAAAATGTAGTGGGACCAAATTGTAGAGCTGGTCCTTTACTTCAGCTCCGCTTTGGACGCTTTGACTGCGGGGTGTCAGATTTTGAGTCTGCTGCTTTCTTGGTTGCCGCTTTTTTACCAGAATTTCTTTCGTCTGGATCATAGAGGGCATTCCTGACAAAGCGTGCAGCAGCTCCCTTATTCAGACGGGCAGATTTCTTCTTGTCTGTGATCTCTTTCACTTTGTTCATGTACGTCCTTATTCGCTCCTGAAGAACAGAGAATGGTTAGAGGAATTAGACAATGCACATAGAATGCAATAGAGAGAAAGAGTGATAATGTCAAAAGACAATACAGAAAAAAACACACATACCAATTCCTGTTTGATTCCATGTTCTCTGGGATTTAGTCCTTGTGTAACCAAGTACACTGTAAACAAGAACATCAGTAAGAAAAGCAGTGCATTTGGCTTTTCAATTCATGTTAATAAGACACATGAATGATGTGTCTCCAGTACGGCGACAGCACAACGTTATCAAGTCAACTTAATGACAGAGGATGTTAACTAGCAAACTCAGGGCCATGTTCAAAAGCACACCGAGAACACTGTAACTGCAGTTTGGCAGTGAATCCAGAAAAACTTACTCCAGAATAATGAATTCAGCGTGTAGGCAGACATCAGATCCAGCTTGGCTTGATCCAAAGGGTCCAGCTGTCAATAAACCAGATGAAGTTTATTTAGCACCAGTTATATATAAAAAAAGAAAACCCGAGATAACTTACTCAAATGTTATTTCCATAGTAAATAACAAGCAAAACACAGGTTAAAAATGTATTAATGTGCACAAGTCACTAGGCTGACCTACATCACATACTGCTGGGTACACCTAAGTACATTTTGGTATGAGATTATTGCATATTTTGCATTGAAAATGTTATAATGTCAAAGTAACTGCTAAATGCGACCTCCGTATAGATGTGACTGTTTGTTTATCTCAATGTGTGTATGCCCTGTGATAGACTTCAGTGTGGCTTCCTGCCCAATGTGAGATGGGAGAGGGTCCAGCCCCCTGCAGGCACTAACAGGGTAGACAGGTGTGAGTTAAGTATTTTCCCTCTATTTGGTGGAGTAGAGCTCCTTACTTCTCACAAATGCGTGTTACGTTGCTATGTTTCACGTTTTACACATCCACACTAAAACGAATACATTTTTATGTTATGTTGCAAATGTGATAATCCATCTGTGATCTAGGTTTTTCTCACAAGTGACATTTTGAATTGGGAAGTAAAAGAAAACAGGTCTAACTAATAACATAAATTATGGCTTTGTTCTTTTTTTGTGTGTGTGGTACCATAAATATGTACATGGCTGTGCCTGCTTGCTTTCCATCAAGTCACAATGCCTGCTGTGAAAAAGGACTTCAGCCTACCTTTTGCAGCAGCTCGTTTCTGGGCATCGACATCAGCTTCTCCAGCACGGTGTTAACAGAAGAAACGGAGGAGTCGAAGCCTGTGAGCTGTTCGTCTATCTCGTGAGGGTAATCCTCAGTTCTGCTGTCCCCCGCCATTTTCCTGTAAAGTAATTAAAGCCATACAATGTTATTTGACTCTGCTGTAATAAGATTGTTCCATTACAATGTAGACAGTAGAAAGAAGCTCCCATTCAAATCTGTTAGTTCATGTTAGCTAACAACATGTTACGTGGAGCAGTAAGTTCACACATGCTGGTGACAGGCGAACGTTTACACGCTTTATAAGTCTCGATTTTAAATTATTTGTTCACCAACATTTATTACTGATTTAACTGCACTACTGGCTCACTGAAAACGTAATTTGACAACATATAACGTTAGCTATTTTTGTTTTACCTTTTAGCACGCAACACGCTTTAGCCAACAGGAAGTGACGTTTTAAACCGCGTCTTCTTCTGCACTCTACTGTCGCCTGCCGTTTGGAAAAGCGTGGTATCCAGCTGCCTATAGCACTGCGTGTCTTTACAGCTTTATCTGCGGAAACAGATTTCAGTATAACGTTACTGTCCAACTTTTCCATCTGTCTGCAGGTTTTGTGCCGAGTTCCGCGTGAATTGCATGCACCTCTCACATATGCTGAGAAAAGAGGTGGATGCAAATCTCCTACAACATCTGTCCGAACATTATGCATCTATCTCTTAAGGTCACTTTGCTGTGCACATTGATCAAATGTCACCACATGTTTTTACTCATCATCTCAAGGAATTCAACTAATACTAAATGTAATAAAATACTGCTGACTCTAAAGGTTCATAAAATATATACGTTTTTAATTAAACAGCGTGCTGCAGGACTCGGTATGACAAACTAAAAAGAATTCTGCAAACTGGTGAACATTGAGCATTAGCCTACATTGAGTTAGCCATAGTAACCTTTTTTGTTTTCAAATATAAATAGGGCTACACTCATACATAAGTAAATAACGAACACCAAAGGCTTGTGTGAATTGTGTCCATGCCTAACGTTAGATCAGAAGAGCTCCAAATAACTAAATATAGCAAGTCCATATACTAATATACCTATAATGCCAACGGCAGCTAATATCATTCGTTTCTCCTGGAAAGATACCAGTAAGTTCGGGTTGTGGTTGTAACCTACCATGAAAAACAACAACAAAGAGCAGGACAGCATGGTAACGTGAAGGCAGCGCAAGTGTTCATGTTACTATGGTAACCTGGGGCGTCAGTGCTGCTGGCACGTCGGACTGCAGTTTAGGTTAATAACTTGTACACACTGTTGTAGCTAAAGACAAATAAACCAGCCGTGAAAGAGACTTGAGACATGGACAACTGCGATTTGGAGAAGCTCTGTGTCTCTGGTGGGAAGCTCCATCCAGCGTTCACACCCGAAGTTACAGATTACAAAGTGACAGTGGAGAGCAGAGTCAGCAAAGTGACTCTGGGCCTGACCGCTAGTGACTGTGGGGCTTCGTACCGTATTGTGAGTCACGTTAGCCTACTGCCTTGAGACCTTTTTATATACAGTCTATGGTTGAGACTCTTCGCATGTAACCTCGGTTTATATATTTCAGCTCTTTGGCGACGGTTCCAGCAGCATTAAACTGAATGATGGGATAAACAAAGTAGAAATCGAGGTGGTAGCTGAGGATGGCTCCATGAAGATGTACCATGTGGAAATCACCAGGCTGTCTGCAAAGATTGCAGAACTCAGTAATTTGGCACTGGAAGGAGATATTCCATTTCATCCTGCATTTTGTTCCAAAATCTTTGAATATAACAGTAAGTACAGACTTCACAATACACATTATGTGATACAACCTAACTGAGTGACTGATAAACCAGTTGTGTTAAAATTACAGTACGTTTTTGGGATATTTTAATTAACAAATAAATAAAATACACTGATATTCATAACATTTATTTGCAACACAAATTGAATTGCATAAAGTTAAACGTGTGTGAATATATTAATGGATGGTAATTTACGTGCAGTGTCTGCCGAAATAAAAATATGGTAATAAATACTCAAACAAATGTTTATTATATCATAAGGATATATACAATCTATTTACATTTTATCAACCGGTGGTTTTGTGTGGGTGTTTATCTCACTGTAAACTCTTTTTCTTCAGGTATGGTTCCATTTCATTGCAATGCTGTGACCCTGCTTCCCAAGGTGCCAGACAGAGACATACAGATTACAGTGAATGGGGTAGACAGCTCACAACCAGTCCCTCTGAATTTTGGAGACACTGTGGTAGATGTCTCAGTCTGTTCAGCAGATGGCAGTAATTCACAGGTACAATAAGGCATGAAAGGAGGACCACTGATGTGCTTTGAAGCTTTATGTTGTTTAATCATCACCAGGCCTGGAATTTCATCATTTTAGGGTCATTGCCACTTGCCCTTTGGTGTTGTCAATCTTTTGAGGGCAGAAAGGCCATATGCCAGGGCAGTAAGGCCATTAAATAAACCAGTGATTTTAAGTCCACAGAAATTATAATTTTATGTTGTTGTTTTTTTTTATTTGAATGGCCAGGATAACTTATATCTAATAGTTAACAACAATTTGCAACAATTTTGAAACTTTTACACTACAGCAGAGAGGAAACTTGAACACCAACATACTTTATGTCAAAGCACCCACAGCAACTTCAGTCAACAATAGAAACTAATGCATGAGAACTGCATAGAGATAAAGAGGGAGAGACAGCCATAAGACCTGGTGCATAATCAAAGTGGAGTGACACATCTCTTTTGCTCTTGTCTGGGCTGCTCAAGCAGCCCACAGAGTGACCCAGTGCTCCCAATAGCCAGTCTTACTATGGTTTCTTGTCTTATTCGATCGTCGTGGCCTTCATGGCCTCATTGAAATTTCTGCCCTACTTTAAATTGTTGACATTATATTTCAAAACATACACACTATTATAGCTTTGCCGTTCACCTCATACTTACTTGACGACATACATTGTAACATAATATAGTAATCTTACATTTTAAAGCTTCACACACACTTGTAGTTGCTCCATGTTCTCATTTCAAGTAAGCAAGTAAGTACACAATTCAGCTTTCAACAGAGTTTGTTTGGTTCTTTGTAGGTTTCATAATACTGTGCTGTCCTGCCACACTGGTTGTTTTTTTCAAAGATAGTTAACCCGATGTCCCTGTAACACTGGCAGGTGTACACAATGTTGGTGACTCGAGAGCTCATTCCCATGGCTGTAACCTTCACTGATGAGAAGCAGCAGCTGGACTATGAATGCCCAGTATCTCTGTCTGCTTTTTATAGACCTGTATCCATCAACCACAGGTAAGGTACTTAAATGGGAATACAAATAAGCACCTTTAGCAGCAGTCACCTCCTTTATCATATTCATGTAAACATTTAACATTTTCAAAGTGGTTTGCAGTTGATGCAACAGTAAAATAAATTAATTAAATAAATTAAAGTAAAATACATTAAACCAACAATCAATATCAGATGTAAAATCTGAGTGTGCCTGTTGAAATAGCCATTTCTCACACCCTAATTTAGGACATCAGTTGCTTTGGTTAATTATAGCCATTAAAATTTATCATTTTGTTTTTTATTTGAAAAACATTTCTATATGGTGTAGTATCTTGGCGGCATAGAATATACACACACTACCTTCTGTATTGGTTCAACAAATGCTGTCAAGATCACTGATCTTCTTGATTTGCCAGTGACCCAAAGCACATCTTCTCAAGGCCTTATATTGAGATGCTGGCGCGAAGATCAAAAGTCGACCCACTTAGCGACTGTCTGCTGGGAGACGGCTGGAAGGTTGTTGAATTGGACCTTGACAGGAAGATGTCGGATGCTCTGATCAGGTGTTTCTTTACTTACAGAGGTGAAGCTTAGATTTTTATCTCTTCAAAGAGATTTGTGTTGAGTTTCGGTTGGGGAATAGCTAAAAAACTATTATAGGGAGGAGAAAGGTAATAGCTTGTTAACCTCCCAAGACCATGAAGGCAATATTAAGTAAAGAATAAAAAACAAGTTATTTCCATTGGATGGTTCTTTTCAGAGTACCTTCCTTGCCATTTATGTTATGTTACACAGTTAACCTGTACTCATTTTCTAGATCACTTGCACTCTGCCTTACCTCTCAGCATTCCCGATTACATCACTGTCATGTAACACAATGTTAGTGTAGACAACTATGATGTTGCTGTAATGACGAGATATTATAACTTAACTAAAACCTCATATATCTAGCTAGCTGCATTTTATATCAGGCCTCCTTTGAGTCCAGCAGGGTTTCTGCTGCTTAGTCACACGAGTAATTGATTTCTGAGACCTCTGTCTGATTGATTTTTTTGAACTTGCAGAGGTTAGTTCAGAAGAATTGTACAGTACAGAAAGTGTGACCAGAACAACATGTCATAGACTTGGTTACTGCAGTAGTTAATTACATTTGTTAAAAATCAATTTGTTTGATTGCCTGTATTTGAATGGGGAAGCAATTCTACAGAGGTGTATATTAACCTGACAGTTCAATTAATTCTATAAAAAAATACAATCACTTGATCAACTTGGTCACAAATGTGTCATTTAAGTGGACTATTCTGTTACACTTTTTTGTCTGTTGAGGACAACACTACTATCCACCTCTATTGTGTGATTTATTATGTCTTTGATGTGTTTTTCTAACAAAGGATGCGACAGTGTGATGAAATTGTCTGAGCTGGGGTCACACTCACTGGACTGCCCACACAAGCCCACAGGGGACCTGGATGCAAAGGTCAGTATGAAAGATTAAGCAGTGCTCTGCATTGCCAGAATCACTGCTATCGACCTTGACTCTACCCTTTCTTTATCTACAAGTCAGTGCTCCCGTCACAGTGAGTAGTAGTACTGTTTAACTTCCACAGTAAAAGTATCTCATGTTTGTGTGTGTGCTGGCAACACAGTTGATATTAAATAGATTCACTAGTTCAATGCAGTTGAATGCTTTGGTCATTGATTCAGTCCAGTAAATGCATTTCACGTGTGCTCATGTTTATTTTCAGGATGTCACAGAGACAAATTGGTATAAGAAGCACTTTGCATCATCAGGTTGTTGGGAGAGAGAGACTAAACACAGTTTGGAGGTAATACTTCTATTTAACTTTGCATTGTTAGTATACAAGTCTGAAGTTTAAACTGCTTTAGATACATTTGGACACCATAGGTAGGCTCACTATTCATTTACCAAAAAGAGCTTTATTTTCTCTGATTCTTTGTTGTTTAATCCTACATGTTACAAGTCATTCCCATTTTGCAGAGTTCAAGAACTTGCCTCCGTGATTCTGATATTGTTAGATACTCATCATAATAATACTTCATAATATGAGATAATATTTTGCTTCACTGCTTTTCCTGTTGTACTTCATGGGTGGATGATATTTTCTTTGTCTATGAAAGGTGCGTAACTGGGAGGAAAGACTACAAATGACAGCAGGAGAAGACAATGTGGATAAACTGTGCGCCGCGGCCCAGAATCACCTGAAACTGTACCAGCAACACCTGCCAAAACCAGGTATGTTGCACTTTCCAAACACAATAGGATCACAAATTAAAGGGATGTCAAGTAATCTGTTAAATTCTATTGGCAACCACAACTGCAACAGTGAAAGTGTTTTGAAAATTATTTCCCTCTCCTAAAATCTCTGATTCACCCTCCTGACTCCGATAACCTTCTCAGCCCCTACATTTTTTACAGTTATAAATAAATTACTATGGACAATACTATAATAATAGAATGATAGGCATGATAGGTCCACTGACTATATAACAGGTTTTATTATTTTAAGTAAATCCAAACCTAAACCTGGTGTTGCCTGTATTACCAAGCAGGTGAATAAGGTCACGGTGGTTTTCCAGCTCTGTATTCATGCAAATGCTCTCACAAATATATGCAAATCTTCTCCGGTCTTGTTGTCTGATATAGGTTTGTTTTTCACATTTCCACAGGGGATATGTTACAGTATGAGAACGGCCAGTCTCCTCTGCATAGCCTGGAGCAGGCTGCAGTCCACTATGCATCAGCTATCAGACTCAGCTCCAGAGATGCCAGACTCCACTTCCTGCTGGGTGTTGTTCTTGAGGAACACCACTTCGCTACAGAGATGTACGGCCTCCAGAGGAATGACAAGGTAGTGTCAGGAAATGTACTGGGGAAAAACAGGCTTGTTCAGTGACATGTTATGAGGTTTTGCACAGATGTTTAGCGAGGTTTGTGGATGTCTTTGCTCACACATTGCACACAGCTTCTTTAATATCTTAAACCCCTTGAATTTTTTTATTTGTTTTCATTTGCTTTCAAGCTGATGTTAAATTAAGTGAAGATTGTTATTCCTATCAACAGGGTATATAATTAGACCATCCTGGTGACAACAAGTTACTTATGATACACACTCACTACAAATTACTGAGTTTAGATATCAATCCTTTTATATAAGAATCAATTCTAGATCAGGAAATTGGGATCAGAAATATTGATAGTTTAGTATTGATTGCACATCATTACACATATTCCCAGTCAAAGCCTTCCAAGACAAACATGCCTGAAATGTCTGGTAAAAAATAAATTCACTGTTGCAATTCAAATTATAACCTTGTAACCATTGTAACTTAGACCTGTGGAGATCTATGGATTTAAAGTTTTATTTCAAGTCTGTCAAAGAAAATATTATAATAGTATTTCTTTGTAAATGCAGTGTGAATGGGCCTGTTCATCTAAACCAGGGTATATACAGGAATCCTGAAGTAAAATTCAATACCTTTTTAAGACCTTTTCAAGACTTTTTCAACATATTTTAAGACTGCTGCACCACTTTGAGCTGTAACCGATTAAATCAGCCACACACTTTTAAAAGGGACATTTTTGAGGTTTTAAAAGGAATTTAAGTATATTTATAACATATTTATTGCCTATATGTCATCAGGTTGTAACGCCACCAACTTTTTCAGTTGCCTATAACAGCCTGTATGGGCCAACTGTTTTCTATGTGAAGGACTGGCCAGATTTCCTGCAAAAAGCAACTGTCTTACATAAACTATGACGTGTATGTACGCAGTATTACAGCTAATCATATGAACCACAGTGTAATTTTGTGTTTTAGTTGGTTTAAACTAGATTATGTGAGCTTGCCTGCAATAATATGTGTGATAACTTTCACCGTCCACTTGATCAATACAACAAAATTCAAATAGGCCAGGAGGGAACAAAGGAGAGAAAACTGAGTGATGAATAACATTAGTAGTGTAGGCGGTGTAGCACAGGCACAACCTGGAGGAGGAACTGGTCTAAATGACTGTATTAGTATAATATTAAATTGAAAGTATATTGTTAATTTAATAGTAAACTAAAAGTTTGACATTAATATAGGCCTATTCATTATGTTACTATATTCAATATAATTTCATATAATAGTATAATATTAATTCAAATTACAGCTGATTCAGTTTGGGGATTTTTTTTATTCATTAACTTTGTGCATGAAAAATACTCTAGGCTACATGATAGTCTCCAACCTTGATTTTGGGCAGGCTACTAACTCGTCAATAATCATAACTGTTTATGCAGAACATTGAGTTCAACATTTATAAAGTTTGTTACAGCACATCAGGCTTCTTTTTTAATCCCGCCCCATCCAGGCTGTGATTGATTTGTTCACAAAAAGTGACACTGACGAGAGCACCGGCTTTATGAAAAGTTTAATGTGTTTTCAATAAAAGGCACCGATTTACCACAAGCTCCTTGAATTACGACAATGTTTTGGACCATTAACAGCGCGGCAGGGTCGGTTGTATTTGTAAATCATTTTCCGGTTCACACAGATCTATTTTTGGGAACGTTTAAGAGTGAAATAGGCGCACGGTAGATCCCTGCGCCTAACGTTACAGAAAGGAATCACAGTCGCTCTGTGCCTGTCTAGTATTTTAAATAAATACGTTCACCTACACTTTTAGCAAACAAACTTTTGGAAAAACTGGATTTTCACATTGAAAAAAGTATCTTCAAAATTTAATACCTTGTTAATTGGCGATTAAGACTTTTTAATACTTTTTAATGGCCTTAATTTTCGCAAAATTGATTTATTACCTTTTTAAGACTTTGAGACCCCGCGAACACCCAGTAAACAGTTTAGCATTTAACACTGCATTTTGAATGTTGATAATGAATATTATTGGAGGTGTGAATTGTGCAGCTAAAAGCAACCCAACCTTTAACCTTTTCATTTCCTCACCTCCAGGCTGACAGAGACAGAGATGAATTTAGCGATGCCAAATCAACAGCACGTCAGGACGACATCCTGGCTGTGTGCAAACTCCACGGTTTCCTCGGCAAGCCCACAGTGCAGAACCAGCTGCAGGCCTTGGATCAGGAATATCAGCAGCTCAAAGAGCAGGGACAGTCCAGCAAAGCAGACTATGTTCAGACACTCTACATTTGGCTGTCCAAGAAAACTGGCAAGGTAAGTGGCAAAGTAGCTTCTAATGTTGCTGAACAATGAAGGTTACGTTACTCACTCCAATTAGGAGCACCAGTGAAATACCTGAAAATCATTGTCAAAGAGACTTTTGCTTTCTTAACATTTTCTTTCAGATCATCTGTTTAACATAATGTGAAATTAATAATCAGAGACAAATGAACGATGAAAATGAAAAAGGTTGATGGGTCACTGGGCAAAAAGTTATCTATACCATTTTTGGATTGTTCCAAACACTGTCAGCACTTGTTCTCTTATTGCTTGAGCATAAATCTGTATCTGATCTGTGTGTCCATGCGGATCGCGTAACAGAGCTCATTGGAAAAAAAAGGAGAGGCGGACTCTGTCTCTACATAAACGAAGGTTGGCGTACAGATGTCACAATGTTGAAGAAATCAGGCAGTCCTCACTTAGACTTAGACTTATTCATGATTTTACATATATTACATAATTCACCGCGAGAGTTTCCCTCGTTTGTTCTGGTCGCTGTTTACATTCCACCTCAGGCCTGTGTTAGTGAGACGTTACTACATCTGGCCGACCAGATAACTAACGTGGAGAAAAAACATCCAGACTCCCTGCTCATTGTTCTCAGGGACTTCAACAGAGCAAACCTCAGCCATGAACTTCCAAAGTACAGACAGCATATTAAGTGTCCCACAAGGGACACTAACATACTCTCATCACACATCACTGTTACACTTCATTAAAAGGACACCTATCGCTCTGTGTTCTGCAGCCTTGGGACTCTCTGATCACTGTCTGGTTCAACTTATCCCGACATACAGGCAGAAATTGAAATCTGCTAAAGAGTGTAAAAAGATGGACAAACAAGTCAAAGCTGGAGTTACAGGCCTGTTTTGACTGTACTGATTGGAGTGTTTTTGAGGCTGCAGCCACTGACCTGGACGAACTAACTGACACTATGACATCTTACATGAGTTTTTGTGAGGACATGTGTGTGCTGACTAAAACCTTCCGCACATACAACAGAGTCTTGTATAACCAGGCCAGGAACACACTGACTAAAGAGATCAATACAGCAAAGAGGAGCTACGCTGAAGAGCTAGAAGACAGCTTCACAGCCAGCAACCCGGCGTCAGTGTGGAGAGGCCTGCGGTCACTCACTAACTACAGGAGACCATCCCACAACACTGCTGGTACTCAACGCCTGGCTGACAAGCTGAATGTTTTCTATTTTAGGTTTGAGAACCCCACAGTCACATCTCTCCCATGCTCTAACACCAACTTCAAACAGTCTCCTTCCCCCACTGCCATGCTGTCACCCCCCCCTCTACGACCCCTCACCTGCACTCATGATCTGTGAAGAGGTTGTGCGCCAGCTCTTCCAGAGGCAGAAGACCAGGAAGGCTCTTGGCCCAGACGGTGTGTCACCATCCTGCCTGAAAATTTGCGCAGACCAGCTGGTCTTCACACAGATCTTCAACAGATCGCTGGAGCTGTGTGAAGTTCCCTCCTGCTTCAAACGCTCCACAATCATCCGGGTCCCCAAAAAAACCTCCATCTCTGGATTAAATGACTACAGGCCTGTCACCCTGACATCTGTAGTCATGAAGTCCCTTGAAAGACTAATGTTGAAGGTCATTACAGGCCCCTTCCTGGACCCCCTGCAGTTTTCCTACCGGGCTAAAGGGCAATTTATACTTCTGCGTCAAATCGGTGTAGGTGACGGCGTAGGCTACGGGGCTACGCAGAGGCTACGCCGTCAATGCAAAGTCAACTTGTGACTGCATTATGCGTATTCAGACCAACCGCGAATTTTTGCCTCGCGACACTTTTACACACAACGTGAGAAGGCGATTTTAACATAAACACAACTCACCATTACTACAATTGTACAAACCCAAAGTAAACATTTTGCTGCGATTAAATAGCAATAAACGGATCAAACTGATGCCGAAATAACTACAACATGATGCAGCTTTGTTAAACATATGAATTCATGCTTCGTCAGGTCTGTCAGCAAGACAGCAGGACAACAACTTCTAAAATGTTTGTTTTCTGAATGGCGTTTGGATCGATGTGCACGGAATCTAGCTACTGAGAAGCTCCAGTGAAGATAAATCAACGTAGAAATCCCCCAAACTAAAGTAAAAAGCTAATTTAATAAAAGCAGTTAACTCCGAGCTCCTCCCGCGAGTAAACTGCGTAGTTGTCAGAGCAGAATCCGACTGACTACGGGTGTTTATTTCTCCAATGGTTGCAGCGCTGCTCCCTGCTCCTCTTCTCCAAGTTTAGCAGCTCTCAGCCGCCCAGCAGATTTTCAATCCCCGGCTCTGCCTCGGTGACATACGGACAATCTCAATACTGATAGGCTATTGCGACTCAGCGTCATGCGACTTCTTCGCTTAAATTGAAAATATTCTACTCACGGGAATTCCTTTGTGTTGCCTTCCCGTCGCCGGCCCCGCCCCCTTCGCGTCTTTTCGCGACGCCCGACAGCAAATCGGGGCTCTACGCGTCTTTGCATTGATTTTGTATGTAAACTCACTGCCCCGAACGCTCGCTTCGCTTTTGGTCTGAAAGCACTACATCCTGCAAAACCTCGACTCTCCAAACTCACCTAGCTCACGGTGCCAGCCTCCACCTGTCAGTAGATCTCAAACTTCCTGACTGACAGGAGTCAGCAGGTGAGGCTGGGGAACATCCATAATAAAGACCATAATAATAAAACTTGCTGACTACTTCTCTTCTAAGAGTATTCCAGCCAAAACTAATTAGTCACTGCTTTAGAAAGCACATAATCGTGCCATTTTATATTGCTAGGTATAGCAAGGCAACCGCTTTCATAAGGAAACACTAGAAACTGCCACAGGTCCTGGATACTGGAAGTTATTCATTTTAACCTTGTTGTGTAATTTAAGAGACTGCAATGACACGTTGTTCTACAAAGTTGTTTGGATAAAAGCACCTAGTACATAATTACTCATCATTATATGACAGCTGAAATTTAACTCCCTCCTCTGTTGTTGCAGGATAGCAGTGCAGCCGTGCGGGATAAAGAGAACTGTGTCCACCGGGCACTGATGAAGTACCAGGATGCCTGGTCTCTGAGTCCTGACAGCTGGGAGTACAACCTTCATGTAGGAAGGCTGCTGCTGTTGCAGGGGAGGAGCAGGGAAGCCCTGCAGCACTTCCAGAGCGGCCTGGCGCTGCAGCCCCTAAAACCTGCACTCAGGTCAAGTCATGGAAGTGTATTTGGTAGTAGGAACAGAAATTGTGTTGTGTCAATAGCTTTAGTAGTAATAATAATGATTTACATGTATCAACAGAGCTAGAAGTTTTTTACTTGAAGATCTCACACTGTGCCCTGGCTCATAGACAGGACAGTATAATCAAGAGGACAGTATAATTAGGAGCAAGGCCAGGCTGTGCCCAACAAGTGATCAGCCTTTAAATTGATTCTTTTTTTAAATTGATTCTAAAATCCTAATATGCAATCATGTGTGTAAAACTTAAAAGCAACCTTTTGTTCAAGCTGAGCTCAGGTATGGACTTGTTGCTATAGCAGAAATAGAGTTTAAAGCATCAAAGCATGCATTATCCTTTTCTGTGTTACTGTAACATAAGAGCAGCTTTCACCAACCTCTCAACCTGCTCTTCAAATGTTCCCTTCCCTATAAACCCCTATATGATATGTAAAATTGCAAAGGTAGTTTTGTCTTCAACATCTGTCCTGTGTTGTTCTTCATCTTCTCAGATTCTTCACAGGGCTGGCTCTGCTGCAGCAGGAGCAGAAAGCCTCTGAGGACACAGAGAAGGAGGCTGCTCTGTTCTTACTACAGGGACTGGAGCACTTTGTCAGCCAGCGCTGCAGCAAGAGGTTTCTATGTGTGTGCGTCTATGTGTGTGTGTGTGTGTGTGTGTGTGTGTGGTGGAGGTGGATGCATTCTGCGAGAGAGGGAGAGAGTGTGAGGGCATGTAAGTATCAGTAATACACTATGATTTTCTGTTTTTGCGTGCAGAAGGACGAATATGATGAAAATTTAACACACCGCCATAGTCTGCAGAAATACGCTGACATACCATCTGTGGTGTCATCCATACATACGTGTTTTTAATAGACATTTCAAAGTCTAGATTTGGCTTTTCTACTAACCACCATCTTTGTCATTTCCTGGAGCCAAAAAAGCCAAATTTGGGCAAAACACGAAAATCACCATTTAAATAGGAGAAAGTTTGAGTGAAGATTTAGAGATCTGATTCTTTGCTAGATGAAAAAATAGCTGGATAAATTTGGGGATTGACTGGTCGCTGTGGTTTATAATCATGGAGCTTCTGCTGTTGCCTTGGGTTTGTCTGTTTTGCTTGCATGTAAGTTCATCAAGGTCATCATGGCTTGTTTTTCTGTGCTGCAATTCTTTTTCATGATTTTTGTCTGCAGCTGGGTGGAGAAGGATCCATCAGACCCTCTGTCCAACCTCAGCACACAGTTCCTGCGAGGCCTTCTCACTCTGGGCCACCTACAGCAGAGAAACACACTGTCTGAGAAGGCCATGAGTGCAGAACAGGTCTATCACACGTATGTAAACCAGAAGCTTTGTTTAAGTAAAGATTTGACAGAATTTTTTATTGATGATATTCACACCAGTATGATGAACTTTAATAAGTGTTTAAGCACTGCATTAAAAACCCTGTGTCTGCTTGTCTCTGTGCTGGAATGCTTCAGTCTAGCAGTGCTGACTGCCCAGAGTGTGAGTCAGTGTGTGTGTCGTGGCGAAGTGAGCTGGCAGCTGGAGTGGGTGCTCCTAGATGCTCAGTTTGCCCTGCTGCACAGGCTGATCCAGCACGGTGAGTGCCAGGCCAAGCCTGGCATCGAGAGGCAATCCCTGGTAGCAAAGAGATGTCAGGCCCTAACAGCACTCATACGCCTCACCTCTATTGCCCCCTGTCAAGAGCTGCTGGACATGCAGGAGAGGGTAAGAGTATTCAGTCGGGCAAGGTCTGTTTTCATTTGAGTTTATGTTTCAGCTTTGCAAAGTTTACTCTACCACAGAACTCTGCTAGTGTTTTGGGTCGCTGTACATCTAAGCACCAAAGCTTGTCCATATATTGACTGTTATGTCCATAAGTGCCTGGTCTAACAGAGAAATCAGATGTGTACCTTCTGGTCAACCCCTTTGCTGCTGTTTACAGGCATGCCAGCTAGCAGTGGTGACCACACCACGGGACAGCCACGCCCTGTGTCTCTTGGGTCTGGCGCAGTTGTCTCAACATGACAACAACCCAAATTCAGACGGGTCAAAAGAAGCCATAACTGACGCCTGCCTCAGCTTCCAGGCCAGCATTGAGCTGGAACACAAGACTCAGAGTGGAGAGTCACCTGAACAGCTGAGCAGTGAGTCTGTATAATTTACTTACTACATTTGATCACTCTGAATCACAGCTAGCTAGCAGAGAATAATGTAGAGATGGGCATTATCTTACTTATTTTATGTAAACATGATATGCAGATGGTTTCATGACAAATCAGGCTACATATGATATGGTACATTATGGTAGATTACAATAACCAAGCCCTCTTTTCTCAGAACAAAAGTGGTGGCAGGACCGGCAGGAGGTCGAAAATGAGAAAGCTACCAAGCAGTCCATCAGTCAACCAGCGGGAGTGAAGAGGCCCTCTGACACCAGTGTAGCCAACAGAGGAGCTAACCGGGGCAGGGGAGGGCCTGGTCAAGGGTGTGTGGCAGCAGCTGTAAACAAAGGTTTCGCTACTCTTCCCCCAGCCCTCATCAGGGGAGGGAAAGCTGCCCGGCTTCCAGCCAAAACGCCCACAGCCAGGTGAGTAACGCTGGCACCCTGAATGAAGAGTTTGGCTGACCTCTTATGTGGTTGTCTGTGGATGTTTGCTGGCATTTATTTATTCATGGATGATTTCCTATGATTTACTTTTCTCAGCTCTGCGGTTTCATATTCATGTTGAGAACAAATACAGTCTTTTACTGTTTGTCACTCTGGGCAGCTTCAATAGAACAGTTTCCAATTTGTTCCCTTGTAGAAGCTGTATGAAAAGGGAATTATTTGAATGTAGGAAACATTTACAGGTATTTAACGGAGGACTACACTAAAATTTGTAAAACAAACCACATAGTAGTTCTGTCTTTGTGTGTGTGTGTGTGTGTGTGTGTGTGTGTGTGTGTGTGTGTGTATACACACACATTAACACTGGTAGAAATGTGATGTGTATGCTATATTTTCTGTATGAACACAAATGGCTTTTGTATTCTATTTTCTCTCCTCTAGGGGGAGAGCTGGAGCAGCAGCCAAGCCAGATAAATCAGCTATACTTTCCAACAATGGTACTAAACCCCAGCTCCCTGCCAACAAGTCCAAACAGGACTGTTGCCCTGATACTGTCAAGACAGCAGAGGGTAAGGCATGACATGATACATAGTCAGGTTGAAACCTTTTTTCCCCAAAGCCTGAGTTTTTCATGATTTGTGCTAAACAAATCTTATTTTTTAACTGAATATTATGCTGTTTTGCAGTTGTAGACATGACGTGTAAATGGTTTTTTTAACCTCAAAGTTAATCCCATAAAAGACAGAAAGAAAGAAATCTGGATGATAAAAGAAGCCTTATGTACTCTGTGTGTATTTGCAAGAACATGTAAAAATTAAACAGATCAAATAAAAAATGTTCCAGTGTTGCTTTAAACAACAAGGGCAAAAATAACAGCAACAGACATGTTTTAACGTCTTTCTACTGGGTTTGTCAAAAGAGGGAATTTTACTTCATGTGTCTATTAATTGTTGTTTTCAGAGCCTGCTGTGGCAGACAGAGAGAAAGTCCCCAGTCTGGTGAACCGCAGGTCTCATATCTCACGGCTGGGTCTTGCCCGTGCCCTCTCCCGCTCTGCAGACACCCAGGAACAAGCAAAGCAGCTCTACCAAGAGGTCATCTCCATGGCACCAGGGGTCAGCTGTTGTCGGTTACATTTAGATTTCAGGCATTTCCTCAGTGCTTTTACAACGCGGTTTGCAATGGCTATAAAATAAGATCACAGTTTCACACCCACCCAACTGTGTGACTCTAGGCTTGATGATTAATTCCAGTAGAATGATCTCATCCTCATCTTCGATTAGAAAATTACACAACATTTGGTTTTATAAAATACATGGTGATCAAGATAAGAAACCTATTGGGTTTAGTTCCTCAATTATGTATCATAGCTAAAAGAATATAAGTTGGGGGATTTAAAACATTTGGGAAAGAAGTAATATAGCACAGATAAAATGTGACTAGTTGATCAAATGACATGTTGCATATCTTTTAGGAGGTAGATCTATAATGGCCCACATGTAGCTGACAGAGAAGCTAGAGGAGTTATACTGAAATAGAAATGTCAGAATTTCTAAGGGAATGTCTTTTTTGATTTGGTCCACAGTGCCTGGTCTATCCCTGCATTCCTGATTCAGCATTTTACAACTCAACTGCACTTTTAGAAGCATATAGCGCCTTTCTAGTCTTTTCGACCACTCAAAGCGCTTTTACACTACATCTGCATTCACCAGTCACACACTGAGCCTAAGTGCTCAAAGGGAAACTAACATTCACACTCATTCATACAATGGCGGAATAGCCGCCAGGGGCAAATCGGGGTTCAGTATCTTGCCCAAGGACACTTCGACACGCAACCAGGGGTGCCAGGGATTGAACCGCCGACCTTCCGATTAACGGCCAACCCACTCTCCCCCCTGAGCCGCAGCCGCCCCAGTAGTAGTTATTTATAGAGATGTATAAACAGTTGGCAGATGTCTGGTGTTGACTCCCTCAAATGATGTAATCCAGATAACATGTGGTTAATGAATTACCTGACTCTCTAGGTCCACGATGCCTACATTGAACTTGTGCAGTTGCTGGAGCCGTCAGACCCTCAGGCTGCAGTGGAGGTGTACTGCAGATTCCCTCTGAAGCCTGTGGCCGAGCAAAGCTTTGATGATGCCTTCATCACAGGAGAGATCGTCCGCATGCTGATGGCGCAGGAGCAGTACAACCATCCGCAGCTGGGCCCCAGCCTCGTGGCATATGGCAAAGTCATGGGCCTAAGTGATTGCTGTTACTACTATTATAAAAAAAAAATTTTGGGACATGAACAGAATCTGGTAAAATACTGCAGTATTTGCTGATTGCACATTAAAATTGTCAGCCACAGAAAAATAGGAACTGAATTTAATATTATTTTATAAAAAAATGTAATGGTGTGTGAAAAACACCACTCATATTGAATAATAAAAAATGCGCTGTTTATTTGCAAACTATGATTTTCTTAGCCGTCAACTTGACTATATTTAACAAATGTGTTGTTTAAATACAGTGTTGTATTTAAATCATGCAGCCAGGCCCATGTGACTTGCCACAACATGCTATTTATAGAGATGTATTATATTCAGCTGGTGGCCAGATAGATGGCATGAAATATTACATAGAGAACATACATGCAGCATTCTGTAAAAATCTCACTACGCAAGTCATGTTAGGATCATTTAGTTATCTAAAGATGTGTAATGTATTATTATATTAAGTATATACAGTCTATGATTAAGTGTAATATGAGATGTTTGATTTGAAAGTCAAAGACCCCTTTAAAAACACTTCAAACTTTTTGGTCATTTTAAAATGAAACGGTTTGTATGGTATAAGCAGCATTTGTTTCAATGTGACCGCAGTAACATTGACGTAGTAATCTGTGGCTGTATTTGCAGGTTGCATAGACAAATACATCGACATCTTGGATGGAAAGTCCATGACCAAGCTGCTGAAGAGTATCTACGCGAGAATCCATGACAGACAGGAGGACAATGAGGACCTGCAGGATTTCTTCAAGTTCAAATGCTGGATATGAGAAGGCTTGTAAATGCCTGTGTTTATCTTTTTGAATCCTTAGGTCACAGTTTGCTTAGAAAGATATTTTGGGCTGATAAAACACTATCAGCTCTCCATAGATACAGAAATCCTCTTGACTTTACCTACACCTGCTGTTATAGATGAGCCATTCATATCGGACAGACGACACTGAGAACATGTTCATCTTTTTTCCAAAGGCACATGTAATTTGAAAACAGAGTTCTCAATAAAATGACATATCAAAAGTGAGAATGGAACTCAACAACGTTCACCAATAGTGCAACAAAAGAAAGGTGTTTCAGTGAGCATCCTACAAAAATGGAAAGATAGATAGAAAAAAATAAATCTTGATCCCCAAAATGTTA